GAAATGCGATGATTAGTACTTGAGATACCCGTGGAAAAGCTGAAAATTAACTAATTATGCAAATTAGGTGATTAATATGCACAAATATTTATCGAAAACAATCAATCTCTGCATAGTCCTTGAGTATGTAAGTACCAAGTTTCATTGAAATGTAATGCTAACTACTTATATCAAATGCTGAAAATTAATTAATTATGCAAATTAGGTAATTAATATGTACTGATATTACCATAAAAACTATCAGGTCTGTGCAGTGTCGTATGACATCTATGTACCAAGTTTCATTGAAATGTGATGATTAGTACTTGAGATATCAGTGGAAAAACTGAAAATTGACTAATCATTATGCAAATTAGGTAATTAGTATCCACGGATTATTACCAAAAACTAATCAAAACCTAGCATTAGTTCAGAGCATCTATGTACCAAGTTTCATCAAAATCCAATGAGTGGTTGTTTAGATATCAGTGGAACAGTCATGGAACCACTAAAAAATAGCTAATTATCATGCAAATTAGGTAATTAATATGCACGGATTTTTACCAAAAATTAATCAAATCTGCGCATATGTTCAGAGCATCTATGTACCAAGTTTCATCAAAATCCAATGAGTGGTTCTTTAGATATCAGTGGAACAGTCATAGAACAGCAAACAATTAGCTAATTATCATGCAAATTAGGTAATTAACGAGCATGGATTTTTACCAAAACCTAATCAAATCTGCGCATTGGCCCAGAGCATCTATGCACCAAGTTTCATCAAAAAACGAAGTATGGTTCTTGAGATAGCAGTGGAACAGTCGGACACACATACACACACACACACACATACACACATACACACATACACACATACACACACACATACAGACACACTAACTGCAAAGACTCCCATTTTGTGCTTCGCACATGGGAGTCAAAAATGAATTAATGAAATCACACACATTAGTTGGAAACCTGCACTTCATAATTTTGAATAAAGATGAAATGTGCCTTGTAGGTAGAATAACAAACACTTATTGCATATTCTGATAACATATGTTCCAGTTTTAGTTTACGCTATCGTAAACCCAAATCAGAGTTGTCACCTGTGCATGCGTCAGGTGGCCATAGCATGTCATTGTTTACAAAAAGCATGAGCCTTTGTGTTCTTAGCGTGTGTTGTTATCGTCCCTTGGAACTCAATTCCCGTGCGCAGGTGACAACCCTCTCGCTTTAATAAATGTTAAATTGAACATTGATGCTGTTGTTGCAGTATTGAATAGTCTTAATACAAAACAAATAAAAATCATCATCATTTTTCACTTTGGATGAGAATAATTACAGTCTATCACAATATACAATGCTGAGAAGTGGAATAATGTTAATAACTAAGGCCATCAAAACAAATTATCCAAACTAAGAAGTTTGGTAAGTTTGATATCCAATTATTTTCCAGTAGTACGAGGATGTAATACATTTCAAAGAGATTTTTTTTTTTTCTTTGTTTAACAGAAAATAATCAATGTATCTTAAACTACATGAATGAAATAAAAAGGTTATCTTCAATGCCTTTTAAAAATAATCAGTCAAGAGCCATTTTTAAAAGCTTGATGCTGAAATTGGGTACCGGATGAATACAGTCCCACTTAAGTATCAATACATGATTTAGTTTTGAATTTTTGTCATTGTTGCGGTACCTCAAATTGCTAGCAGAGAGTATTCCTTAGTGAAAATGATATAGGAATCAACGAATGCAAAAGAAATAAACAAACTCACCGATGCACAGAGATGACAGAGGTAAACAATCTAGGACTTCCAGGTACAAGATTAGTGAATATGAACTCAAATCGTGTGTTATTACACCGGGTTAATATATATAATGCTTCTGTCTGTCCTCTAAGTTTAGAATTAGCCGTCCTTGTGGTGATGTTAACGATACAATTGTACCCAACAGAGAGATTCACTCTCGGCAGCGTCTGAGAATGCCATATTATTCTTAGATTGGTTATTATTAGGCGACCTGTTTTAGAATAGAACAATTTATTGAATGAAGGCATCATGCAAAAACAATCTGTTGTTGGAGTAATAAAATCTTGTATCGAGATTAGCTACCCACCTAATGGATAGGATGGAACATAATATCCACTGCCGACCACAGTAGATGCCGTTGCCATGTAGTTACAACTGTGATACACTGACACTTTGGAAGAAAAGCCAGTAGACAGTATTCTATAATTGTAGATATTGGATTTATGTAATACTGTCGTGAATAGGATTAACCCCAAGAGCGTATGACACATTACATTTATACCATGCTCAAAAGTAATCAAATCTGGTTTATTACCAGGATTTATTCACCAATTGAGCACATACCATGATATCAATGTAAGCATATATCCATTAACAGGTAATGATGACAGTGGCATATGTGGCAGACAATGGAATAGACGAACACTAAGCAAGAGATGAGTAGCCAATACGGAAACAGACTGATAATAAACTGATGTGAAACTATGCACTTTTCAATAAGAACGCACTGACTTATATTAGCTTAACATTAGCTTGTGTACTATATAAAACCCCTTAGTCAAAATATGCAGCAACATGTGCTTCCTGAGTGTAACACCATTGGAACATCTTTTGCTTTGACTTGAATTGCCACATTTGTTGTATGGCATCCGTTGTAATTCCATATAAACAAATAATGCGTGTTATTAAATGGGACCGATACTGCGCATGATAAGACATAACTGTGGTTCTATAAATTTACATATCCTGTTTTAAAGCAGACTCAGTCACGTCAATGACACATTTGAATTGTATTGCATATCAGCACATGAGGCATACCTCTGTCTCCATTATTTCCTTTAGTGTCTTCAACTGAATCAAGTCTATCTATAAGTATCTCACCAGGACGCATCTTCATTTGTCTGTTAGAATGCAAAATACAATACAGTAAATCAAAGTGATTGCAGTTAGAGATAGATGTGAAATAAATATTTCTTCAAAAAAATTACTTTCCCAGAGTTTGCAAAATTAAACAAAAATTTTGTTTATTAAATATTAACATTTTCACCACCAGACTTTCTCGCCCAAATTTTTTCTGCACTCTTTTCTCAATATTTATGGCAATGAACCCTAATTTTGGAGCCAGTAGACAAAATTTGAGGCAATATTCAGTTTTTACTCAAAAAATTTGGCTATTGTCCCAATCTTCAGAAGAAAAGTACAGATTATAAACATGACTATTTTGTGATGAAAAGAGGGAACTGGTGGTGAAAAGGTTGAGCACACTAGATATTCATTTGCACCTGACACCTATGATATTGAGACACCAGTATTAAAATTTACCTCACAAAACTGCTTACTGATTAGCTAACTTGATTATCAATCTTTACTGGTACATAGGCATGGAGCATACCACTTTCATAAGGGGGGGTCACACTTCAAGGCAACAAGAGCATCTTGAGCACAGTACATACAAATTAAAAACTCTTTTGATTTGAAATGTTTACAAATACATATTTTCAACAATACAGTAGTTTTTTATACTCCCAGTGGCAACAGCTCTTGTCACCAGAAGTTTCATGTCTTGGCTCTAAGTTTATCGTCCAACAGTTTCCAGATCTTTAATAAATCTTCACAATGCCTTTCCCAGGATTCAGCCATTAGCTAAATACTAGTACACAATCAATAACAGACGATATTGGAACTAGAAGTTGTAGTTACACAAGATTAAACTGGTGGTGATATTGGATGAAATAGACTGTACTAAAGAATCAACTCCACGATGTTCATTCGTAGATGACACGTGACTAAAGTACAATGAAAGCTGCTTGAACTCAAATTCAATAAATGGACAGAAGCATTTTCAAATGGGATATATGGATCGATATAGAATTTAAATTCAAAAATATTAAATTGTGTGTTTTTTTCACCCAAGTCCGAGGGGAATTTCATATTTTTACAGTGAATTATTATCTGAACACCTCTATTAAAAATAGTGAAGGCAACGTCAAACACCAGATATGTTCTAAAGAAAGGAAGGGAGATAATGGTTTTCATGATCAGTTTATTATATGGCATCTACTGTATTAAAGTGGATATTCAGTCGAAATATACCGGGTAATGTCATTTCCTAACTCCAATTTCTAATGTGATAATACAAAATTATACATAATAATGTATTGCATCCTTGAAAATACAATTTTCATGTGTTGACACTAATATAAAGATAAAAATATACACGTATAGTTTGTTGCATGTACGAGATGAGTTGGCGCCGAACGCTTTGTTCGTATTTCGGGAGTTCGTATTTGTATCGCTAGTTGTGTTATTTCGTCCGTCAAGAGGTGATCGCGATAAAGAAAATAGTGACAGCAAGAGCCACAGAACTGCAGCCAGCCGGCGACAGGTAAACACTCACTATAAACAAATCAATACTGCACAACGACTCGCAGTTTACGCGCTAATAACAACTCAATTTTACTTACTGAGGACTAATATCGAAGCGCACATCTCTGTCCTCCCACAATGCATCAAAGGTGGCCATAATTCAGCTTCTGGTGAGCGATGTCCCCCAATCTTGAATCAAGGTAACAAGACGGTTTCTTTTCTAGTGAGTCGCCATTTTCCAGAATAAAATATTTCCCATCACGTATTGCGAATAAAAACGAAGGAGTACATCCATGAATGCAATGAGGGCGTAAACACTACAAATGACGCCGGACGACAGGGGAGAATAATTTTTGACAATTTGGCCATGAAGTGCCCATGTTCGAACATGACTATTTAAAACGCCTCTAAATACGTATATTTAAGAAAAATGACCCATTCCAAGTGCAAAAACGTCAAAAGTTAACCGTATTTGCAAGGGATTCTCAAAATTCTGAACGTCAAGTATTAAAATTATGGAATCACCCGGAGATTCGCCAGTTGGTTCGCCGGGGAGATTCACAAAAGAAATTAGGAAATAGAATTATATTATAATTTCGAAAAATATATATACCCTTATTTTTTATGGCACACATTTCAGTTTAAATGGAGAATTTACTCGCCTTTGATATAAACATGGACGTCCATGATATAATATAACTGACTCGGAGATTGAGTATACAGATACATCTGCAACAATTCTGGTTTGTCGCACAAATCATTTAACATGTTATGCCTAAAGAGAGCGCTGTACCATTTATTATATTTGTTTTATAAAACATATTTATAAGTGATAGAGAGAGCAATCAACCACAAGCCTTAGCGGATGAATACCGCCCTCGTGAGCTCCACCACAGTCAGTGGCACTACTTGTAATTGCACTCACTGCAATCCCTGACAAAATAAGTGGAAGCGCCCGTAGTTCTAATACACAGGATAGGTTTGCTGCTCTACTATTTACCCTAAGAAGGAATTTACAATATTGTTGTTGTTTTTTTTCTATCGGTAGCAGAAAGTTAATGAAGTTTTGTTGTTGCCTAATGATGCCATCAGACCGCACTTCAGAGCAGTAAAACAAAATTGGGCTTTGATTTCGTGATATTTATATCTAGTTTCCATTTTCCAGCTTGTTTAACGCCATTTGTAATTCTTTCTGACAGAAGCACTAAGTCGTCTACATAGAGTAAACAAGGAAGATGGTAAATAGGGTTGTCCAATGATGTTGATGGGGGAGAAGTCAATATCGGATGATTTAGTGTGACGTAATCATTGTCAAATATGTTTGCCTAATATCTATTTCAATCAGGGATGTGTTAGTAATGCAATTAATTAATTTCACACAACACAGCGAGTTGTTGTAAATGAATTCAAATATTTCATAGAAATTGACAGAGATTCTATTTTTCTCAGTTTATATAGTAAGGGTAGACTGATAATCTGTACGTTCTGGAAAATAGTTCATCTGTGTGGCTTCTGTTACGTCAGACAAGATACCACTAAAGCATCATTGCCACCGCCCGGTTTTTTGGTGGGCCTATTCAATTTTGGCGGGAAAGTACAGGGTTTTTTGGTCACAGTCCGTCCCTGTTGTATAGGAGACCCCGGTGTCAAAGGCGTTTTGAAAATCAATAAAGCAGGCAAAGGTATATATGACTTATGTCATGTTGAGAATGGAAAACCAGTACCATACTTGGAAAATATGACCATACTTGTTGGCTGAATATTATGATGCGTTACCGGTCTCGCTGTATTCAAAACACGTGTCTTGTATATCAACATCATAATTTCCCGCGGAAGTTATAGTTCAACAAAATCTACATTGATCATACAAGTTTTTCAGATTCAGATGGGATTTTGCGGGAAAGTTCGCAATATCCACACAGATCGACCAAGTTATTCCAAACTTGTGTCTCTTATCAAGGAATGTCACAAAGTTGTGTGCAAACTTGAATTACAACTTTAGACAACATATTACAAACGGGATGTGAGTGGGTCACGGCATAATACTTTATCAGCAAATATGATACACGAGTCAATTTAAATTTTAAAATAAAGTCACATTTCGAGCCGAAAAATTGTGTGAAATACGAAAATGGCTAATAATTGAATCCTAAGAACGTTCTAGATATGAACACAGTAAATTATTGTTTGATTACAAGCATACAAAATCCATTTCAGATTTGAAACACCTCTGTCAAACCTAGTGGAATTTCCGATATTTGTTTACTTTTCAACTGTTAAAGTCAAAACAAACACCGCTTTCAACTTTGCTAGGGATATTCAATGTTCTAAGGGACTTTATTAGAAAGATTGTGGTTTCCATTATCAGTTTATTTTGGCGCACGCTGTCACAAATTTAATTAGATCTATCTTTTGCGTTCATGGTAGTAAATCAGCCAATGATTGAAGAAATCCCGCAAGGACTCATGGGTAATGGGCAAACTAAAAGGTGTATATGGCCAAAAAAATCATCTTAAATTAGATTTGAATGAAGCACCAAGATCTTCCGAGATAAATGTTTTATAAATATTTGTAAACGACCATAAAACAAGCTCTCACTATAAGGAAACACATTTCAACTGAAGAGGGCGCTATATTCATGCGCATCACTACTTTCTATTCAGAAATCATAAGTTTCAACTTTCTAGCACTATTCAATTTAGAAAAGACCCCTGTAATAAGTGATGACAAAATCAATACTGGTATTGACACCTTGTTGTTTTATTGAATTATGAAAAATACTCAATAGATATGCATAGATTGATCAGTGTAAATATCAAGGTCTGAGTGAAATTATCTTAAGCTGGAAGAAAAGTAAATGGAATCCCAAACAAATCAGGTATTATTTCATCCAGTAATTAGAAAATAGATTTATATGCATCATAGTTATTTGTTTGTAAATGTGTGACATGATACATTTTAAGATTTTTTTTTAAATTCAAAGTGATGTGAGGAGATGATATGTATACAAGCAAAAATACACTTTCAGGTTTGTAGTGTGGACAGTTATCAATTAAAAAATGGTGTTTGCAAGTTTAATTATCAATTTTGTGTAAAAGTGATATGTACAGTATAATAAAAAATATTATTGAAATATAATATTTGCCTTAAACAATTTTTAAAAATAAACTTATAACTAAGGTATATAAATTTGAAATTTGTTTTCATTAGTGCAAAAGCTTATATATTTAAAAACAGACTTTTGATTTTGCTAACTAGAAATGAGATTCTATTGGGGGAAAATAAATTGGAGATCAAATCATATAATTTACGTGAAAGATGATGTCTAAGTCAAATCATGTGTAAACCTTCACTTCGCATTGATACAAATTACTGTACTAACATTTTATGATTTTTTTGGCAACATGATTAGAATAATTCACATTTTAGCATTTCAATCCACAGATTAAATTGTAATTTCTTTAGTCTGAAGAGATCAGAATATTTCAAATAAAGCAGACTATCCTAAAAGACAGTAGGTTCTCTGAGACACTAGTAAATCATAATATTTTAGGCTCAATAAGTTTAGTACTGACACAAACATTATCTATCTCAAAAAATGCTGAAATTATACAAATGTATTTTTAAGGTGCTGCTAAAATATAAAGGTATTTTTTTTCTCTGTGACAGCAATGATTGCTATATTAACATTTAGATTCCCCTTCAATTCCACCAACAGACACAGTCTTCTCAGGCAGACTGCCAGTTTGTTTATCACTTCCTTTTACACTTTGCTGGACATCAGAATCGGAATCAGAATCTGAGTCACTGGTGTCACTGTCCATTGAAGTATCCAATGATGAAACTGATGATAAATCTAAATCTGAATCTGGACAATCGTCATTTTTGATAACTTCTTTGTTTTCTTCTGTCTCCTTCACTACATCAAGACTAGCAGTTTTTGTACAATCTCCCTGGTCTTCATCATGAGCTGTTGGAGTGGACGTATCAATTTTCTTATCAGAGTTTTCGCATACATCCTCACTGTGCTCAGTTGGATGGCACTTCTGTTCAGGTTCATCTCCAGTAATACTTAGCTTATCACCTTCTTGCTCTGTTGATGGCTGGTCCTTACCTGACTTGCTGATGAAAGTCCACTGTTTCCCATCACCAACCTCATCCGTGCTCTTCTCACCTTCACTTTCTTTCATAGAAGATACAGTTTCCTCTCTGGATTCATTACTCTCGCTTTTCATAATTTCGCTTTCTTTGCTTGATGGCTTTGACATCACACCATCTTTATCAGACTCAACACTTTCAGTCTTAGTTTTTGTCTTCAGTGAACTGACTGATGAATGCTTTGATGTATCACTGTGAATGGAATTTTTTTTAACAGAAGACTGTGATCCCTGAGCAGATTTTGGTCTCTTGTTACTACCACCAGATGATGATTGAGAACTCTCTGATGATGAACTTGATGTACTACTGCCGGATTTGATGGATGACAATGAACTGGCACTTCCACGCTGTGATCCTTCTTGCTTAGCAACTAACAGTGGTGTTGCAGTGGTTGGTCTGGGAGTGTCTGGTCTGGGAGTAGTTTTCTCGTCGTCATCATCATTACTTGATATACCACTTCCAGTTTTGTCATCCTGAGACGTACTATCACCTTCTTTTGTGGAACTGGCCAGTTTTGCCAACTCATCACAGCTACTCTCTTGCTCCACTTCTTCATTCTGCTGAGATGATTCTGTCGCCATGGATTCATCTTTTGTAACCTTACTAATCATAGTCCAATCACCTTCACTCTTCTTAGACGATTCAGGCTCACTTGCAGGAGTCATAGTCCGGGCATCTTTGATTTCCTTCTTTGCTTCATCATCAGATGAAGAGGATGATGCACTACTACCACTATCACTATCACTGTCACTGTCACTGTCACTGTCACTGTCACTGTCACTGTCACTACTACTCTCATGGTCATGCATCGGACTTATCACATGCAAAGAATCTCTCTTTTTATCTTCTTCCTCATCTTGATTTTTTTTTGACGGTTTCTGCTCTTTGTACTTCTGGTCGTTTTCCAACAATGATCTGCAACAATACCATAAGGTAAGACAAGTATTAAAGTATTACAGTTTATTATTAAATAGAAAACATCAATAGTGACAATGACGTAATCCTGATGTTTTGAATTGATACAATTATGTTTGCGAAAGCATTAACATTTTGAAAGATAGATATGACACAATACCCAATGCATACTAGTAAACAAAAGTATGGAAGTTACATATTCGACCCAGTTGTGTTATAACAAATTTGTTTCAGTAACAATAATACTTCAAATTCCTGACGTGTATTTTTTTGTTCATACTATATACACTTTTTTGTAGTACATAAATGTATAGTCATTCATCACATGGTATATTAATGAGCATTTATAAAGTAAATAAATGTAAACAGACTTGGTAGTTTGTATAGTTAATATTTGAAACAAAATGGCATGTTATATTTTTGAAAATAAAATAGCCACCAGTTGGCCATTTTGAATTCACAATGTTACACAGAATAAGGCAAATGCATCATGTTCATGCATGCACAGAGTATGTGTAAAGTTTGGATTTGATTGGTCCATAACAGCATTCACTAATACAAAACGTTCTCCAGTCAGCCATTTTGATTACGGTCTGTGAAACAAAATGACATGTATGAAAACAATTATGTCCCATCATGTTTGTACGAATTTTGAACAAAATTTGTTCAATAACGACTGAGAGACACTTCAATGTTCTGCTAACCTATAGTCACCATGCAATAAAATTTTCTGCATTATCATATTGTCAGAAATAAAGGAAAGCACAGTACGGTAATGTGGCTGCTAGCTAATACACCCTCCAGTGATGAAGCACTTGTGTGACAGCAAAATGATATGTTTGAATACAAAAACTATTGTCTAAATAGACAACACTGTTTGGTTGTGTGGTCATCATTATCAGTAATAAAAAGTGATTTAAAACAGATCAGAAGAATATCGACACTGCAAACGGAATCCTTCCCCCCATTTACATAACAATGTCTTTCCATTGAACTCACAGAAATGGTCAGTCACAATGAATTAAATGGTTATGTCTTAGAGATGTAATGTGATTGGCTTTTTACAATAAAATTTCCAATAAACAAGTTATGATATTCAAAACAAACCGGTAGTTGAAATGCTTAAACTAATTATCAAACTCATGTCTGTGTGCCAAATTATTCAATAATCATTCTATCCTTGGGAGCGGAGTTACATCACAGAACGTTCTATGTATTTCTATGGGCTCTGCGCAAGCTGCTATGGAACGCCGGTCGAGGAGCCATTGAAAACAGCTAAAGTCAAGGAAACAACACAAACTCAATTTTGAAGTAATACTGAGCAACCAAATTTATATATGTTACACATGTAGGGGTAGTCTTGTTACATTGTTCAGAAGAGTCCCAACAACTAGCCCAAAGTACCGTTTTCCGAGAGTTTTCAGCCTTTGTTTTTACCATGGCGGTTGCCAGGCGGTGAAAATACTTGGATGTACGTCCCCGAGAATAAGTTATGGTCGATGCAACAAGTGTACAAATCATGATAAATGAGAAAAATATTTTAGGAAGTTTGATGCACAATTTCCGAAGATGAAATTACTAGAAAATGTTGATGAAGTCTCACCCAAGCAATGTTGCCACATGTGGCTGCTTCCCACATCCAATGGCCAACTTTTTTTTTCTCTTTTCTTCTTCTTTTCTTTTTTTCCTGGCTTCTTCTTCTTTTCTCTAAAACATTCAAAGCATTTCACATTTTAGTACTAAATCGAGGTGAGGTCAAAATTAACATGAATACAAAATTCATCCTAACATTATTACAGTAATACCAATTTTCACACACACCTTAGAAGCAGCTTTTTCATTTTGTTTTTTCTGATGTTCTTGGGCAGACTTTCTGTCATCTGAAATATGAGAAAACATTTAATGAAAAGCTGAATTAATTATTGGTGATTAGAATGTATGCATAGATTTGTGATGTTTATGTTTTATATATACCAGTGTTCAATCAGAAACACTAAGGCAATAAGTCCCAATAAGTGAGAATACTATAAAAAATTATAAAAGTATATAGTAGATGTAAGACTGCCCACCATATCTTTAATCGCAGGAACCTGTTGACTTGAGGAACATTTTCATTTGAGATATGGTATAACAATATTAACAACAAATATAATGCAAATTCCATGTGCTAATAAAGCCATGCAAATTTTTTATATCATAATCCAGCAATTTTTAATCATTCTTGCAGGCAAGATTCATATACTTTAAAACCATTTTTTTTCACTGACAATTAATTTCACTATTTTGATTTGATAAATTTCACTGGTTATCTGTGAAAATAGCGAAATTAAAAATCTTGAATAATTAATATGATTAGAATATTATATTTTTCTAATAACTGTTATATAGTATAGTAAATATAGCAAATCTTATTCTTTCCACTACACCAGTGGATCCAGACATTCACCAAAGTAAGTTTAATGCTTGATAAACTAAATGTGTTAAAAGAACGATATTCATGTATTCAAATGAGGTTGGTCATGCCAAGAAGCACTGGATCATGGTTTTGATTTGATAAGCTCTGTTAGTAAATATTTGTTGTTTTTATTCAATATATGAATGAATTTTTCTTTGTTTGTACAGTGTTGAAAATTGTTAATTTTCTTTGAAGAATGTGAATATAACAACTCTCTTTCATCTGTGTAAAGTTCACATTTTGTGATGTAATAAATTTCATCCTCAAGTAGGTTGCATTTAGTACATTTTCTGTCTTCTGTTGTTTTTTTTAGTCTATGTTTGCTTGTTCTGTAAATCTGATATCATTGGTCATTCATTGGATATTGTCTACAAACCTTGTGATAAACTCACCGTGTTCTATGGCAAAGGAGACTGCTTTAGAAGAATTCAAAATCGCATCAACATGCATTGACAAAGGACGCACTTTACCCTAGAGAAAAATAGAAGAAAAAAACATGGTGTTAGTAATAATTTGAGAAAAAAAAATTGATATGATTACAATCTGTGAATTAAAAAAAAATTCAAATAATCCCCAGTCATCAGCAATTTGCTGGTATTTCCTTCACATCACACTGTATCCTAATTTTGTTCAACCATTTTAGACAAAGGGTCTAAAAGTGTTTTCAGTTAAATTTACTGACTTACACCTAAAATATGACAAATAATAAGAAATATATTATGACATTTATAGTGGCCATTATGACAAAATATCCCAAGGTAATGTTGAGATAACTGAATAACTTTTAAGTTATAATTACTGGTAGTTTCTGGTCATTGTATGTGACAGCTAAAAATTTTTGAAAGGAAAAATAATTTTTTCATCAAAAAACAAAATCGAAATACAATTTAAAGAAGAAAAAAAATGTCCTGGGCCTAACTGCAATAACTGCAAAATAATAACAATATTGCTTCAACATTGGTAATCCTGGTGATACATTTTTGTACATTTTTAGGTAATTTATGTCAGGAATAAAAATTCTGATCAAAGATATAGTTTTCATAAAATTAACTCATTTGCATACTGTAAAATACTTTATTTTCACTTGGAATTAATTTTCGCGGTAGGAATGATTCAGTGAAAATAAAATCCAGTGAATATACCTTTTTTTCTAATATTTTACATTCAACTCATCAAAAATCAGTGAAACTGAATTCCATACAAATCACCAAAAAAATCTTTTCAGCAAAAATTAATTCCAGCTAAAATAAAGTATTTTACAGTTATAGGTATAACAGTAGTTAAATTGAATATGAAATGCTTGAATCACAATGGAAGACGATTAATACTCAGAAAGACAAACAACATACCAAGTCTAAGCTGTCTTTGTTTTTACATGACGGTCGGTATCGGAAATATTTATCAATAGTACCTGCATCCAGTGATTCCTGTAGATGATAAAAGTTTAAACAATTATACACAATGCACAGAATACAGATAATTTTCATCACTTGTACAATCCACCAATCACTGTTTAGTAATCACATGTACTTACAAACAATTTATTGGCATCCTCTGTCAACTGTTTCATTTGCTTTTTTCTCACTAAACTCTTTGGCAAAGTATCTTTCTGTAGTCGAGGCGAGATTAGAGTTTTGTCCTTTTTCTTCCTCTTGGACTTATTTTTACATTCCTCATCAATTTTCTTATCAACATCGTCTTCTCTTTCAGTATCTTTTCTTTCAACTGAGTTTTTTTCTTCATTTTCATCTTTTGTTGAGTTACTGAGTTCAGTCCAATCTCCCTCACTTTCTTTTGTTTGACTTTCACTTGACGTTTCCTTATTCTCTGTTTTACTCGTTTTCCGTGACATAGTGATTCCTTTCCACTCTCCTTTACTAGATTTCTCATCATTTTCTGAAGACTCTGCTCTTCCCTGTCTTCTGGATTTGCTCAATCCAGTCCATGACTGTTCTTTTTCACTTTTAGGTTCCTCTTCTTGTGTACCATCTTTTCTATCTTCTGCTACATCATTGCTAGATTTCTTCTTTCTTTCTTGTTTTTTCTTGTCTTTACCTGCATTTTTCTGTTTCTTCTTTTTATCATCAGTCTGAATTAGGTATGCCATATCGTATCTCGCCTAGTATGAGAAACAAATAGAACTTTAATCAAGAATCTGATAATTTTGCAATCAATAAATATTTTATATTAGATATGGGTCTCATATGATGTATACATCATGTGTACAGAACACTGTTTGTTAGGACAAAATTTGAAAGTTGAATTTAAATTTTAAAAAGATGTCTGTGATTTAATAATAAATAAAAAAAATAGGATTAAGTATAAAACAGACTAAGATTAAGTAAACAGACTACCAGGTGTCAATCTGATTATCAAATTATATGTATTGTATGACATGTATTATTATTTTATTTTTGTATATATTTTATTTTATTTGTACTACATTTTTTATTATTTTGTAATTTATTTATTATTATTATTATTATTATTATTATTATTAGTAGTAGTAGTAGTAGTATTATTAGTATTAGTAATATGTACATTCTGTTGTATTGTTTGTACCAAAAATGAATAATTAAATACATAATTAGAAAAACAATGACTTTTAAAAAAAAACACACAATAAACCCAAAGTAGGGTCTTATTATAATCAGATTGACAAAGTGTATATCAGGTCAGCCTATACAATAATAGTATGCAGATAAAGAGGAATACCTTTATGTCTTGGTGTTACATAAGCTGTATACCTAGCACATATATATTCATTAGGTAATACAAACATCAGTTTTGGCCAAATGGATTACTAAATACCAAAATAAATCCATGTTAACTCTTTATAACTAACACAATTAGAATCGATATAAAACTTAAAAGCATCAGTAAAAATTAAATTTACAAATCAAAATGCAAATTATAATTTGTAATTTTACTTCACTTTAAAAATAGATTTACATTTAAAATTGCATTTTCACTTCTGTTTTAAAATGACTTTTTATTTTGATTTTTTAAAATGGTTTTGAATTTTCGCCACCCCTTTGCTCTTTTAAAATACTGCAGTGAAAATGCAATTTTAAATACATTTTTTAATGTAAATTAAAATTCCAAATGTGAATCTAAGGTACTTTCAAAAATAAAAGAAAGTTTTCAACTATAAATACATTTTCAAAAATAAAAATAAAAAGTTTTCAAATGTAAATTTATTTTCAAAAAGTAAAAGCAAGATTGCAAATGTAAATCTATTTTTAAAAATGAAGTGAGATGACAAATGTTGAAGTTTAATTTTGATTTGTAATTTTAATTTTTATTTAGACTGTTGAGATTGATACCCATTTTAATTGTGAAATCAACAAAACAATTTTGCAGACAATTTCAATTTTGCAAATACAATAAAACTCACCATTCGCTTTGTGGTGCTGTGACGACCGCTGCCTGACGAATCGAAACCTGTCTCCACTCGATGTACATTCATCATGTACTCCCTGTATACAAGAAAACGAGAAAAAAAGATAAGTGTAATCACTTTATTTTCCCAAATTTCACAATGTCATTGACCAAAATTGTTTGCAAAAGTCGCTGTGACTGCTTTTTTTATAGGAACCTACCAGGGAAATTTTGCCTCTTGCAAAATGAAGTGTATAAAAGTAATAGAGTGCAAATCAAATTTTGTAAATGTTCAAAGTTGAGGGCGAAATAGGTGATCATGCATGAACATGAAATGTACTACCGGTAGTGTCTGTGATTGGTAAATATTGTTGTTAACATCTGTTTCAACTTAACAGAATGTTCAAAGAATTTGATGAAAGCCGCCATTACAGCACAAAAATTCAATACCATGTAGACGACTAAATATATACATATAATGTCTATTAGCTGTGTTACATTGCATGATTTTGAAGTGTGCGCCATTTTGGAGACAATGCCTTAAAGAGATACAATAGCAGGTACAATAATATATTTTTTCATGTAAATCTTACAGTATTGCTGGAATTCAGATGAAACTATGCTCATTGTGTTTCATTACAAGGCAATCAAGGCTCCTCAAGTTTATGAAATATGTGTAACATTACTCCAAACAAATACACTGACTATGATTGTGTATTTTTGTTGTTGTGTATACATCAACAATAGTCTATGATACAACCACTTATAAAAGAATTTAAAACTATAAACATTCGACTTTATATCTTGATTGATTCTGTTTAGTGAACACAATAGGTAGAGTTGTCAATAGAAAATACCGGTATAATATAGAGGTGGCCCGTTGACCTACATTAATAATATAGTTTTCAATAATGACATTTAAAGAAAGAGGCAATATAATTAGACAGTTTGGTATGTACGGACGATAAAACGGAATGTGTTTATTAGTGACACTGACAGAATGAAAGCGTTCAATACCGGTACGTGCAAGAATAAATAGTACTAGTATGAAGTCTGTAACGAGTTGGTGAATCATTGGACAGGACAGTCCTGTGTGTGTGCGTGTATGTGTGGACTTACATTTTTCTAGTCACCAACTTCGCAACATCTGTTGGCGCGCTCATCTTGTCGTCTGAACTTGACTTCTCGAACCGACAAACAACTAACTTTACACCATGGGAGCTACATTCACCACACCAGTAATCACAAATAGCGACTTTTGTTGCTTATGTTAGCGAAGTCATTATTTGTAAAGACCACTCTAGTGACGGTCGCACCGAGTAAAGCGTTGTTGTTATGTACAAACGACCCCCTAAGATGGTTTTGAAAAGCTTAAAAGTGTTCTCCCACGTTCTTGGGTCTCATTTAAATTATACAAATATTCCACGAGAGTCCTGAATGTAAACACAAACATAGAACAGCATACATACTGGGCTTCCATTTACTAAGTATCAGATATACAATAGGCCAGGAACATTTTTTTTAAATACTTTTCCAACCCATGTACAAAAAGTTAAAGTCTTAGAGGGCCCTACATCGAGCTTTCATCGGACTTCTGTGTGCACTGGTTAACAAATAGTAATGATTTATTAACGCTGTAGCGGTTACTAAACACACAAAAGCCCACCACGTACACTAATAGAAAAACTGTATGCATAGGCCCTCACTCCAACTCCTCTTATGTAGAATGTTCACCCAGATCGTACTAGTGTTTTTTTTTTATGTAATGAATCCCACATTGACATATGACCCCTTCAATGCACCCTGTTTTTTTTTATAAATGGATATGTATTACCATTGTTTTATTTTTTCACAAAGGCACGTTATAAATATAACATACTATCACATAAGTTAATATAATACAAAATTAGGTAAATACATCGCTGTCAATTCGAATAAACTAAATGGAATTGTAACGAACTTTTAAAGATTTGTGAACAAACACTGAAAGTTTATATTGTGTCACTGGGTTTTATTATTTAAATCTCAGACCACTAATAATTATTAGTTATCTGAGTTAAAATAGAGAACGTGTTCACACGCAATAGCAGTCTTTGTGGTTAGTGCGTCTGTGTGTGTGTCTGTTTTGGGTGCATATTAATTACCTAATTTGCATATTAATTAGCCAATTGTACGCCTCTTTACTTTTTCTCAAGAACCATGCAACAGATCCCAATGAAACTAGATACAAGTGTTCTAGAATAATTCTCAGACTTGATTAGTTGTTGGTGCATATTAATTACCTAATTTGCATATTAATTAGCCAATTTTACGCCTCTTTACTTTTTCTCAAGAATCATGCAACAGATCCCAATGAAACTAGATACAAGTGTTCTAAAATAATACTCAGACCTGATTAGTTTTTGGTGCATATTAATTACCTAATTTGCATATCAATTAGCCAATTTTAAGCCTTTCCACTTTTTCTCAAAAACATTACAACAGATTTCAATAAAACTAATTTAAAATAGTTACATGTGTCTTTTTTAATATGCATAACTGTAATGCACTAATCACTGTTGTAGATTACGACATGCAGCCAGTACTGCAATGAAGGCATCTGTGATATGACTATTGTGTCATATGACCATATACATATATATATATAGTCTATGGTCAAAAAAGAACACATTTCGATGATTTTGTATGCAATAAACACATTTTTTGCTTTATGTGTAATGAAGATGTGCTTCTAATATAGTAAATACAGTATTTCTTATTTGTACTTCATGCCTCCAACTTAAATACCTTTTTCTAAGCTTTCTTTTTCTCTTTTTTTTGTATGGGTTTACCCTGAAACGGCGAACAGTCGAGTCAACTCTACGCTACTCATACAACGGACAAATAGAATGAGATGGCACCCATCCTCAACAACTGAATTTCGCTTGAAGGGAGTTTATTGGATTACTATGTCTCCACTGCTAGTTTGTGAAATCTTGCCAGAGCAAATTAAAATGATAAAATTCAATTCTAACTCTAGCAAAGATATGAAATTAACACAACGCAATCTACCTGACTAACATATAACATTTTTATGAGTTTTAATAACCACTATAAAACACAACGTTTCCTGTACGTACAAAAAATAGCAAATTTCCCACATCCATCTAAAACCACTCCAGAATTTACACTACAGTAATAAAAATCTGTAACAGTTAACTGTCCATCTACTGCCAGAGCGGTGGCCCAAACCATCGCCCAACCAACACAAAGCACAACTGATACATTTGAAAGTCTCTGACATAAACCCCACCCTCTAAAATTAACCAATCATATAATAATGACTCATCGTATTCTCAACATGAAACCAATCATATATACACGCTGATATAATTAATAGCACATGGTGTCATCGTCAAAATGTCAATTGAGAAAAGAGCGTGTTTGTTGGTTCGGAGCTATCAACGGTAACCCCGGGAGGTCACATTCTGAATTCGTTAAGTCAAAATATATAATAACGTTAAAAATATTCGAAAAGTATCATTTGAGTAACATCACACAAAGCCAATTATGGTACTTTTTATTTTATTTTACATGTGCGCATATAGAAATGAATCACAGTTTTATTGAGAAAAATGACGTAAAATAGTAACCTCCCCCATTCCAATCCCAAACCTAAACACATTCAGTATGGGTAAATTGTAATCAATGTGAAAAGTATACATTTTTCGTAGCAATCTTTACATCAAACATTTAAGTGTTTCCTGATTTGAGATATTGTATTTTACTTTGAAATAAAGTATAACAAATATTGTCAATCATGATTAGATGATTTTGCACTCAGTTATGGAATGATGTGTACATGTAATTTGATTTATAAGAATGTGAACGTGTTTAGTGAACTGTACTGATGATTTACCATTTGATATAGCTTTACAAGGTAAAACCCATCCCACTCATAAAAATAAATACTTTCAATACATCTGTTGATTGTCAGTGTCTGAAAAGTTATAACAGTCTTGTGTCAGTGAAACATATAATAGTACATGTAGTGGTGAAGTGCAGTATCTTTTTTTGTTTTTGGCCAAGTGGGAGGGTGTCTTTGTTTCTCTTGGTTTGATGATATCCCTCGGAGGTTCTCAAATGAATTGACAACGCCTTCGATGAAATGATAAGTACTTATACTTTAGGACTTGATTTCAAATGCCAGGTGTCGTCGCGCCATGTGCTGTTCGATATGGGGCGCATAGCAACATATGCAACGCGTGTAAAATACTACGATTGTTTACATGAAATTCGATTACGCGCTGCGCGACGCCCTTTAACCAAGTAGATCATTCCGTGCTCTCTGATTGTCAGCATTTTGGGAAAGATCCGCTATCCACCAACGACTCCACACTTAGTTTAACTTTCTGTAGAATCAAAGAACACTGAATTTGACGATTGACTCATGCAATGTTTTCAAGGATGTAGTAGAGTTTCTAGCCTGACAAGGTTGCGTGAGCTGCGCCCTCAAAAGTGCTCACCAACACAGTAGGGCCTGATGCCGTTCGGCCGGCGAGGGCGCCACTCACTCCTACATGTCAGGCTATAGAGTTTCGAGCGAATTAAGGGGTCAGATTTAATCTTAGTTATTTTTTGAATGTTTATAGTATAAGCAAACTTGTAGTATACACATCTTGGTAACTTGCAACCAAATCTGTATTTCTATTTATTTTATATTTTGTTATCTCAGCATGTGTGAATCCCCATAAATCCCCATAAAAGTCTTTTTTTTTACCACTACTCAACTACAATTAAGTGAATGAATTATTCTGTTTTTTTAAACAAATATCCTTCATTATATGAATTAATGTATTATAACTGTTCTATACTAGTATTAGTCACACTACCAAAGTTATGGTTATTTTTTTCAAAAACTGTTTGCTCAAGGGATTAGCTTTAATAACTTTAAAACTCTGTATTATATATGGAATGAGGAACATGAATTCAAAAAAAATCACTTTTAGTTGAGTAGTGGTCAAAAGATTGATTTTGTTGATTCCTATTACTAATACAAATATAGTGATTCATTCACGTCGAGAGAGAGAAAAAAATATATAGTCATACAGATTTCGTCACAAATTACAAAAATATATATAACACAAAAATTTTGCCTAAACATTCAAGAAACTAACCAAACTTAAATCCGACCTCTCAAATACCCTCGAAACTTTACGAGAGTGACCTGTCTAGCTTAAAATCAAACCGATTCAACCACAAAAGTACTGTCAATAACGGGAAAAAATGACTTAGCTGAGTCGTGACTCTAAATGAATTCCATTCACAAACCTGGGGTTTATTACTTTCGTATCATAACACTTTGAAATGTCAACTCTCGGGAAAATGTTATGGTAAAGAATTTAGGAACTTTCGACCAATAACACACTGTTGGTGAGTAGATGATCAAAACATATTCTGAGTTGTCGGTACTTTGATCTCATGTAAACCACATTCAACATTTGTATTTGCATCAGTTTATGTGTTCATTTCAGAAACATACACGCATGAAATTGATATTCTAACCCAGTCATTAGTTTACCAGTCTCTGATTGGAACTGTAACTGCAAACTGTATTTGTGTACAAACACGATTCAGACTTGAATTTGGTTTCGCAATCAAGTCACCAGTTGTCGTAGATTAAAAACTAGTCACCAGACTGTACGTGATGTACTTCTACTTGGTGTATAGAATAGGATTTGTTCTGAAGGTATACAATACCCAAACATAAAGAGTTGAGCAACACATGCAGAGTTCAAGTTATACTCGATCACAAAGAGCGCCATCTATGGCGACAGGTCACTTTCATATCACGTGTTCTATTATTAGCCAATCGTAGTATAGCATAACTTCCGGGAAATTTTAAAAAGAACTGACGTTGCCGAATCAGTAGTATAGACTGAATCTGGTTCTCTATAAGGGTCTTCTTTGTTGGTTATATCCTATAATTATAAACCAATAAGTCACCAACACTCCATGCGTGTGAGTATCCATCAAAGCTCTGATAATGTTGTTCATTATTTTTCTTAAAAACGTAATATTTCCATCCACAGTCACACCGACGATCGTGACACTCTCCTGGTGCCTGTGATTGCGGCGGTGCTCAACCGATGTTTTTTGTGTGTGGTTATTTATACTTGCACTCAGCCACTGTGCTCAGTGTTTTGGAAATCACACCAACCGAGATCATGTGCTTCACTGGTCACTGTCAATACAGGCGGTCCAGTTATTGAGATATTTGAAATGCACCATTAGAAAATTGAGAAGTCTGGATGAAATTAATTGTATTTTTTTTTTTTTTTTAAATGGCAACAAACATTTTTTCTCAGCATGACAGCAATTTTTTTTCTCCTTCACAAACTCTTAGTTGCCATTTTCTCATTAGACTCCAACATTATGAATTATACGTTTCTACATACGTTTGGGTATTTTCTTCTATGCTATCGATAAAGAGCCATTGCTCGAATCGTCCAGCTATTTTTAATAGTTACTTGGGAAGGTACATGCAGTGGGACAGGAGAGAGGAGACTAAAGATTGTTGTCCCATGATTCATGAACACTTCGATTTATTTACTTGCTAGACATTCCTGTAATGCAATTGCGTGAATAATTAGCGGTCAGCTCAGCACCAGCCAGAGTTTTTACTGAGATAAATTGACACCAAAATCACAGATCCTTGTAAAATAAATTTAGTCTTGTTTTGAAATTTCATTGATTGTAAGTAAAAAAAAAAAAAAAAAAAGATATTCTATCTCAATAACAAGTTTCCATGACACTACCAGGGTCCTAGCATCATATGTCACACACACTACACTTGCATAAAAATCATGTTTTTGTTCAACATTGACTTCAGCTTATCTGAAAATGTTACAGAGCCCTACTTAGACCTTTCAAATACTTCAGGAGACAACAAAACATGTTCTTATTCGTTTTCAAACTGAAACAATTTTACTACAGAAACAAGGCAGTCCATCGTCCACTGGCACTGGAAAACAAAGAACAAGTTGCATGCCTTGCCAGTCCCAACAAATCGTGAGCGAGTCCAACCTGTTTTGTTGAGTAAATAAGTGATAAAAAGGAAAATAGAAAATGGTGATAAAACTTGAAATAAAATATATAAATCGGATTAAAACCCATCCTCTCTTCTGTCCTCTTACCTTCCATGCTCAGGACAATGATTTAATACCAACTATTATATACTATATAACGATTTGATGGATATGCAGATCCGAAAAGTCACCCTGGTACAGTACTAAAACCCATGGGTGATTTTTGTGATGTGCGATTTTTCAAACAATATATAGTTTTAATCTTTATTTCTAACTTGTTTTGCTTTACTGAAGACTAAGTAGAATGTATAGATCCATTAGTCACTCCTCATTTCACTGCTTTCACATTCCTTCACTGACAAAGATTAATTTAGCCAGCAAGTCTGTAAAGAAATCATGCTTTTATTCGAAAAAAACATTTTTCAGATTGAGTCTGTTTTGTAAATCCAGCCTGTAACTATGGAAAGCCACGAATTGAATGACAGCATTTTGGAAATCAAACAGCGCATGAAAGAGAAAAGAATTCAACGAAAACGATTAGAATCAGGTGATCGCAGCCGAAGATGTAAGTTAATTTCAACGTATAGTTTAAATTTTTTGGAGAAAAACAAAACAAAGCTGTGGTTTGAATACACTTGTACAAGATGTATATCTATTAAAGGAGATATTTAGAATCTTTGATATGTGTAAAAGACGACAAAGAGCAAGAAGGCAGACCAAGGTATTGAGCTTTAAATTCACTACATTCAATTACCCACCATAGA